GATTTATAACACATCATGATAATTATATCACATCACAAATGGAAAATAATGATACAATACTAAGAATCAGGGCCTGGCCCTGTTGGCACCTTTTGGCGGGGGGGGGGGGCACGCAATGTAATTTACAACACACACTTTTTGGTATTTTTCAACTAAGCCTTTCCTATCAGTCAGAATATTATGTGAGTGCCAATAAATTGCCTTCCTTTTCCAGCAAGGGGATTTTGATCATCAAACAGAAAATCAGTAGTTTTCTCCAGAAGAAATTTTACTTACGTATTATTCTTTTTCTTAGAGGAATATGTATCAGTCTCTCCCCACCCCCATTTCCACTTAATAAAAAAAAATATACTAAAGATATAGTGCCCACTGTGACCACTGCTTCTTAATATTGTTGTTAAATGCCATCAAGTTGGTTCCAGCTCATAGTGACCCTGTATAGCATTGCCAAGGAACAGCTGGTGAGTTTGCACCACTGGCTTTCCGGTTAGCAGTCCATTGTTTATCCTACAGCATCACACCATGACTCTGCTTTTTTTTAAAATTTAGTGTATGAAAATAGTAGCCAGAAAAATTAGACAAGGAAAAAATACATACTGGTATAGAAGGAAAAAATACATACCAGTATAGAAATATTTTTCTTAGACAATATGATTATAAATTTAAAAAACCAAGAGAGTCAATGAAAAATTACCACAAAAAAAGAGAATTCATTAAGATAGTAGAAAATAACCTTTTAAAAATATCATCAAAATTATATATGTATAAAGTAATAGAAATTAATTTAACAACTGTGGGAAATCCCTTATGATGAAATTATTAAAACACTGCTCGGAGAAGATATAAGAACTCTTTTCTGCACAATTTTTTTGTAAACCTAAAACTACTCTAAAATAAAGTCTTGTTTTAAAAATACGCACACACTACTGAAGACACACAAAAAATCTTGATCTCGTGGGAAGACGTACCTTTCTCTTCAATGAAAAGATTGCTGACTATAAATTTTCCTTAAGTTACATAAGCGTCTAAGACAACCCTGTCCATCTAATACTACCTGTTGCTATCAAATTAATTCTCACTTATAGCAATCCTTTAGGACAAGGTTATAGGAAATCAGTAAATAAATGTAAGGGTTTGTTTCTGGACTTTATATCCTATTTCTTTATATTTGTATCTATTCTTATACAATTACTATATTATCTTGATTTTGTAGCTTTGTTGTAAGTTTTTAAATTGATAAGTGTGAGCCCTGTAATTTTGTTCCTCTTCGAGATTGTTTTGACAATTCTTGTGTTGCCATATGAATTTTAGGATCAACTTGTCAAATTTCTCTGTTGAATCTGCAGATTAGCTTGGGTGTCATCTTATCAATATTAAGTCTTCTGTGAACATCTTGGAGGATTCATTGAATGTTAATTAAATCACTGATTTTCTCCTTCATTATTTCTCATTTTTGATAAATGACTGTAACTTCTGATCCTATCATACACATTCTCCATTTCAAAATCTACAATTGTTCTTTCTTCTCCTTTCCAAAAATAATGATTGACTCCCCATCTCATTCTGGTTCTGCTTGGATCTTGTCCTTTTGATTATTCTTCATAATACTGTATTTTAGTTCAGTATTCATTTTCAGTTTTTCATGTTCACTTGCCCCTTCCTTTCTTCTTTCAAACAATTCTATTTTCCCATGTTTAGCCATGCTTACTTACTCTTGAATTGTTTGCCTGCTGCCTATTATTTTCCATCTCCTTTTTCTTGTTTTTTATTTTTAAACTTTATTACTAAGTGGTTCTCTCTACCAGTTTCCATTGCTTCATCCCCCATTTACTTGTGTTGTGCTATAGTAGAAGGAGCACTGGACTAGAAACTAAAAATACCATGTTTTTCGTAACAGATCCATTTACCAAGTACTGTAACTTTTCAGGACTTCAAATGTTTTTTTCTATAAAATGAGCAAGGTGGTCTAGATTAGTTGTGTTAAGGTATGTTCTACCTTCTGAACCCTTAGTTCCAAAGAAAGTTTACTTAAAACCTCAGTGTGTAAAAGTAGTTATTCTGTAGCAAGTTGTGGCTGCAAGCTTAGAGCTTTTTTTTTCACACCCAGCAGTCGTGCTTGGGAGCCTTTGTAGAGCTCTCCCAAAACACAATTTGAAAGCTATCAGAAAGTCTCTTCAGCTCTAAAATTTGGTAACTCGCTTGCAATTATTGATGTTGCATTCTTGCTAGCTCAAATAATTTACTTGTTGCCAAATTAAATTCTATTTTTAGTTTTCACTTCTCCTGGACACCTTACAGTATCTGAACCCATATTTTTTTCTGTTTGCCTCTCTAGATCGTTTTCTTTATGTGACTTTAATGATGTTATTGTTTTTAAGTGTTATCAGTTCATTTCCAACTCATAGTGGTCCTGTATAGGGTTCCCTGTAAATCTTTGTAAAATCAGAAAGCCTCATTTTTCTCCTGCAGAGCAGCTTGTGGGCTTGAACCACCAACCCTGTGATTCTTAGTCCAATGCTTGTCTTACAGAGTCACTACACTCCCAACTTTAATGATTATTGTTGTTAAGTAAGTATCATTGAGTCAGTTCTGACTCACAGCAATCCTGTATAGGGTTTCCAAGGAGTGGCTGGTGAGTTTGAACCAGCGACCTTGTGGTTCAAACAGACTTTGCAGTCCAATGCTTTATCCCACAGCACTGCATCAGGCATCTAATATTACCCAACCTAGAGTTTTCTAATCACACAGAAGCTTTTTTGACGCATATGCTCTCATAATAATCCTCGGTGGTGGTGGTGGTGTGCTGTGGAGTCAGTTCTGACTCATAGTGACCCTATATAGGGTTTCCAAGGCTGTAAATCTTTATGGGAACAGAAAGCCTCATCCATCTCCTGTGGAACAGCTGGTAGTTTTGAACTGCTGACCTTGAGGTTAGCACACTGACTGGTGACCACTATGCTACCAAAGCTCCTTATTTGTACTCTGTAATAATCATTACACTTGGGACTTTAAAATTACACAAGACAGTTTGAGTTACATAGAGGTAAGCTGGGCAGAGTCTGACTGAAAGGTATATATAATCTAGCAGTAGTAATAGTTGTTATTGTTAGGTACCGTCAAGTCAGTTCCGGCTCATAGCGACCATATGTATAACAGAATGAAACACTGCCTGGTCCTGCACCATCCTCACAACTGTAACTACATTCCATCCCTTTTAGGCTGCCGCTGTGCCAATCCATCTCATTGGGGTCTTCCTGTTTTTCACTGACCTTCCACTTTACCAACCATGTTGTCCTTCTCCAGGGACTGGTCCCTCCTGATAATAATGTCCAAAGAATGAGACATGAAGTTTCATCATTCTGACTTCTAAGGAGCCTTCTGGTTGTGCTTCTTCTAAGACAGATTTGTTCTTTTGAAAGTCCACTTTACTTTAAATAGTCTTCTCCTACACCATATTTCAAATGCATTGCTTTTTCTACTGTCTTCCTTTTTCATTGTCTAACTTTTTCATGCATATGAGGCTATTGAAAATACTATAGCTTATATCAGGCCTGATATCTTTGCTCTTGAATACGTTAAGGAGGTCTCATGCAGCAGATTTGCCTAACGCAATATGTTGTTTTATTTCTTGACTGCTGCTTCCCTGAGTGGATCCAAGCAAAATGAAGCCTTTGACAGGTCCAGTCTTTCCTCCATTTACCATGGTGTAATTTATTGGTCCAGTTGTGAGGATTTTTGTTATAAGACATACTACTTCTTTTCAAAGTGTAATTATTTTGCACATTTCGGGTTGATTGTGGCTGTGTGCTGTGCAGTTGGTTCCGACTCATAGTGACCATGTGTAGGGTTTCTAAGGCTGTAAATCTTTATGTGGAGTGGCTGATAGATTCAAACTACTGACCTTGCGGTTTGCAACCCAACTCATAATCCACTTCACTACTTGTAAGTAACTTGACTGCTTCAAAGAAATGTATGAAATAATTATAAAGTTGGAAGGAATACAGATGAAGTTCTATCGAAATTTAAAAGAAAATAAGGTACCCTTTTCCTAGGGGAATTAGGGTACAGAGGAGATGGGTTGAGTTATTAAGAAAATGTAATGTCTCAACACAGGACATTTCTGAGTGAAGAAGGCATGAATCAAGGCAGGGAGGTAGGAAAACATGAAATGGTAGGTATTTTGGTTTTGTTGGAGGTAAGGGTTAAGAAGAGAGATAGTAAGTTGTAAAGGCAAACCAGAGATGGATGTTATTTTGTCTTTTTATTATGTGTGTCTTATTTCCCCAGCTATGTTGTCAATTCTTTGAAGACAAGTACATATCCTGTACTGTTAACATCTTACAGCTGGGTGGTGGTGGTGGTGGTTGTGTGCCCTGGAGTCACTTCCATCTCACAGTGAGCTTGTATATAGTTTCTAAGGCTATAAATCTTTACAGGAGCAGAAAGCCTTTTCTCTTGAGGAGTGACTGATAGATTTGAACTGCTAACCTTGCAGTTAAGTTAGCAGCCCAGCTCGTAATCCACTGCGCTACCAGGGCTCCTTTAGACTATGGTTTTATCAGTAAAAACTAGTTTAGATCTCTGTAATTATAGTTCCTTGTGGCTAAGAAGTAATAATGATTGGAAAATTTTAATATTTTCTAAAACATTAAAGTTTAGAGTCATCAATGTTCATTTTGTCATAAATTCGTGACCCAACTATCTCCATGACAAGTACATGTTATGCATGGAGAAAGGCAAGAAAATTGAGTATGCCTACCTTCAGCTTTATGTTTCCATTGACATATTCTAATTTTTTTTTTTTTTTTCATTTTTATCAAACAAAATGTACTTGACGAAATTGGAGGATATTTTTGAATAGGGGAGACTTCTCTTTTCTCATTTAAAAAGCAATTGTCATGACAACTTTGAAAAGCCATTTGTGTTAGAACTTGTTAAGGGAAAACAATTCATTATTTGATAATATTTGTTTTGTTTTAAACTTTTATGTCATGTACTAGGTGAAAAACCATTTCGCTGTGATGAATGTGGTATGAGATTTATCCAAAAATACCATATGGAAAGGCATAAGAGAACTCACAGCGGAGAAAAACCTTACCAGTGTGAATACTGTTTGCAGGTAAGAAATGATTTCAAATTCTTTGTCCAAAATTAAATTATAAAATCAATCTGATACATTAAATTAGAAAATGATATTTACTGCTAGAACCTATTTGAATAACTATTTGAAGAACTGTCAATTATTAGATTTTTAATAGAAAATCAACACATATGCTGTTATATCTTATATTAATTTCTTAATTTTTTTTCCCCTTTTCTTTTCTTGGTTGAACAAAACAAACAAACAAAAACAAAAAACCCACTGCTGCCCTGTGAATTCGACAGTATTTTTCCAGAACAGATCGTGTTTTGAAACATAAGCGTATGTGCCATGAAAATCATGACAAGAAACTAAACAGATGTGCTATCAAAGGTGGCCTTCTGACATCTGAGGAAGATTCTGGCTTTTCTACATCACCAAAAGATAACTCACTGCCAAAAAAGAAGAGGCAGAAAACAGAGAAAAAATCATCTGGGATGGACAAAGAGAGTGGTTTAGACAAATCTGACCTGAAGAAAGACAAAAATGATTACTTGCCTCTTTATTCATCAAGTACTAAAGTAAAGGATGAATATATGGTAGCAGAATATGCTGTTGAAATGCCACATTCTTCAGTTGGGGGATCACATTTAGAAGATGCATCAGGAGAAATACATCCACCTAAGTTGGTTCTCAAAAAAATTAATAGTAAGAGAAGTCTGAAACAGCCACTGGAGCAAAATCAAACAATTTCACCTTTATCCACATATGAAGAGAGCAAAGTTTCAAAGTATGCTTTTGAACTTGTGGATAAACAAGCTTTACTAGACTCAGAAGGCAATGCTGACATTGATCAAGTTGATAATTTGCAAGAGGGACCCAGTAAACCTGTGCATAGTAGTACTAATTATGATGATGCCATGCAGTTTCTGAAGAAGAAGCGCTATCTACAAGCAGCAAGTAACAACAGTAGGGAGTATGCACTGAATGTGGGTACCATTGCTTCTCAACCTTCTGTAACACAAGCAGCTGTGGCAAGTGTCATTGATGAGAGTGCCACAGCATCCATATTGGATTCACAGGCATTGAATGTGGAGATTAAGAGTAATCATGACAAAAATGTTATTCCGGATGAGGTACTTCAGACTCTGTTAGATCATTATTCTTCCCATAAAGCTAATGGACAGCATGAGATATCATTCAGTGTTGCTGACACTGAGGTGACTTCTAGCATATCAATAAATTCTTCAGAAGTACCTGAGGTCACCCAGTCAGAGAATGTTGGATCAAGCTCCCAAGCATCCTCCTCAGATAAAGCCAACATGTTGCAGGAATACTCAAAGTTTCTGCAGCAGGCTTTGGACAGAACTAGCCAAAATGATGCCTATTTGAATAGCCCGAGCCTTAACTTTGTGACTGATAACCAGACCCTTCCAAATCAGCAAACATTCTCTTCCATAGACAAGCAAGTCTATGCAGCCATGCCCATCAATAGCTTCCGATCAGGAATGAACTCTCCACTAAGAACAACTCCAGATAAGTCCCACTTTGGACTAATAGTTGGTGATTCACAGCACTCATTTCCCTTTTCAGGTGATGAGACAAATCATGCTTCTGCTACATCAACACAAGACTTTTTGGATCAAGTGACTTCTCAAAAGAAAGCTGAGGCTCAGCCTGTCCACCAAGCTTACCAAATGAGCTCTTTTGAACAGCCCTTCCGTGCTCCTTATCATGGATCAAGAGCTGGAATAGCTACTCAATTTAGCACTGCCAATGGACAGGTGAACCTTCGGGGACCAGGGACGAGTGCTGAATTTCCAGAATTTCCCTTGGTGAATGTAAATGATAATAGAGCTGGGATGACATCTTCACCGGATGCCACAACTGGCCAGACTTTTGGCTAAAAATAAATAAATAAATGTAAATAATACTGGCACTTTAGAACAGATTAATCAAGAGTTGGGGTTACTCTTTGTAAGATGGAGTGCTGTACAGATGTAGGAGCAATGCGTTATAACAAGTTAAACTGATACAAATATGAATAGCAAGATAATCCAATAACTGCATTTCATTTGGTTAGTCAGCATTCTTTGAACTGCCTTACATGTTGTCACCTTTATAGAAGCAATGCATTACTTGTTTTAGATCAGAAACTTGCTATTCTACCTACACCAAGTTAAAAAGAAAAAAAAAAAAAAGAGAGAGAGAGACTTTCGCACAATTGTTTCCTAACTGATATCATTGTACATTCTTAGGAGATTAAGAATTGTGTGAAATTTACTCATACTGTTTCTAAGTTTTTCAGCGTAGTTGTTGCACTTCAGCAGGGAATCTGAGTATACTTTACAGACAGTGAATTTACAAGTTTCAATGTCAAGAGATTATGGCTTAAATAAATGAGTGTGTCCAATAGAGGGAATAAAGAAACCAAGAACCACCTTTTAAAAAGAACGATATGCCATATACCCTTGATTATCATTTTGCATTATATTGATATGTGTTTTTTTGTTTTGTTTTGTTTTGTTTTTTTTTGGAAGAAAAAAAAGTAATAAAAAAAATCTGATAGTCTAAGACTCCACTATTTAAAAGCCTAATTACTTTTAAAATATGCATACTTTCAAGACTTGTACCAAAATATACAACTGGTGAAGCATTCACTTCTCTAAAGAAGTATGCATATTGGTGTTAGTTTCTTTGTACAGTTGTACCTAGATATTTTTTATGATTTTTCATGTGCAGATATCAAGGTTTTGACGTTTTAGTAAAAAAAAAAAAAAAAAAAAAATCTGTAGATTACATTCCCAAGAACATAATGCTTACACAAAATGTATATTCCACATTTTAAAGCTTAATTGTATTTTACTTTACATATACACTTCAGTTAACATAGAGCACTTAGAATCTATTTGGTTATTTTTGATTTCTCAAAGTTAAAAAAATAATTTAGATTTTTAGGTTTGATATGGTTGTTGTCATAATCATCTCATAATTGACTTAATTTTTGGCAATAAAAGGAAATTGGGTTATCTTTGGAGCTGTAAAATCTGCTTAACTCCTTCTCTTTCTAAAGTCATACTAGATTGGATATTTAAACAGTATCCAGAGAAACTAAAGAAATGGGCATTTTAATTGCTTATTTTATCTTGAGTTACTGTTTTAATGACCATTGCTCATTACAATTTTACAAACCAAAAGTGTTTACTAATCCTAGTAACAACAATTTCTTTTCAGCTAGATAAGTGATCGGAAACTTTTTGTTGCGTTTCAAAATCTAAATAAACTACAGACTTTATCCTTATACCATGAATGTTTTTTTTTTTTTTTAAATACTTTGTCTTAAAATAATACAGCATGGTACAATAAATAGTGATTTTATCTATCTATGTATCTATCTATCTATATCTATCTATCTATCTATCTATATATATATATACGGTTTTCTGGATAATGATGGTTTGAGTTGCATATTGGACAGTTCTGACTTTTGGAAAATAATATTAGTTATACTAATTCTGTTATTCTCTTTCATTTTTTTCACAACATTTTGGTTTTATTTCAAATTTCCACCATCTTTGTCACAATGCACATACTGATACAGCCCCAGTGGCCATCTAAAATTACTATCTTTGAAAGATTGATGTTTATACTGTTATTAATTTCCATTCTAGCCTTTATATTGGCCCTATATATCTATAGTCTTTGTTTCAACATTAAATGTGTTATTCATTTAAATTATTTTTTTCTTTTATTTAATAATATCCCATGACTGTTCTCATTAAAAAAAGGGAACCAAGAAGCATTGGTGTTTTTATGATAAGGAATATTAATTATGTTTAATGTGGTTTCCTCTACACTTTGGTTATTAAGCTTTGCTTGAAATAATAGTTTTCCCATTTGACAGCTTTCTTGGCTGCCAGATTTTGGAAGGCACTAGACTTCCTTGAAGTAGATAATTAAGTTCTGCCATTATTGTCTTTTAAGGTTGGTATGTGTTGTGTTGTACATCAGAAATGCAAGAAATGTTCATTCAGGTGAGATCTTTAATGGAATTGTGCTCACAGTACATAAGCATTTACAGTTTTTTCAGAGTGTTTTTGATGATAGTTTTATTTCTTGAGTTGAAGTTTTTTTTCAGCCTGATCAGACACTTTGTTCCATTGTATCACTCTTGTTTCAGTAAAAAACCTTCTGTTTTTCAACATCACCAGCACAGGTTTTAGAATGTGATTCTATTGCTGAGCAGTTAGGGCAAGCTGAGGAAGGAAGAATTTTGAAAATGGTAGTTGTTACACGAGCAGAAATTCAGGTGTTGCATTTCTGTCTTCAACACATTTCTTTAAAACTACATAATGGCAGACTTTTTTTCTACCAGGTTATAAGCATTTTTGCGTTAAAGTGATATTTAGAGGCATAAATTATTAACTTACCATTTAATTATACTCATTATTCTCTTACTGTGAAATTATAAATGCCTACCAGAGTTACCTTGCGTTATCATCATGATGATAAATATCTCAATAGTTTGGGTTTCCCCACTTTGGTTTAGGGTGTTGCTTAATTTAGATTTGGGCATTAATAGAGAAAACAAGTAGCCGTGTGTGGGACTTTAGATTGGAACATTCAGGATATGAGATATCCTTTTGCAGCCTATGTTTTCTCATTTCTCTCAGCGAGCAAATTGTATAAAAATGTGCTCCTACGCCCTGAAACTTTTGATCAATATGAGTGAGGTGTGCTTTTTCCCTGAGGAGCTAGTCTCATGTTTGAAGACTGGACAGTTAGTTCACTTTAGGTCAGGTCATAGTTTTTGAACATCTAAAATTTTGCCTTTTTTTTTTTTTTTTTTTGAACTTCATATTACAGACATATTTCATTTGGTTCAGAGTATTTGGGTGGCTCTTAAATTGGGAGATCTACATGTAAATCTTGTACATGGTACAGTAGAAATCTTTGGCCCAGCTGAGGACTGTTAGTAGTCCCATAATTGTACCTTTTTAGAGGTAGAAGAGACCTTGTGCCTCAGGGTTGATTTTCTTTCCACAAGAGAGAGAAACTTGCAGAATGCTAGCTAGTTTAGAAATTTTGCCACTACTTTCATTTTATTTGAGTTTTTAAAAGGGCTGTTAAGGAAAAAAAACAAAACAAAAGCCGGGAAACTTTTTAAAGTAGGCATTACTGTAGTACTACATTTCTTAGAAGATTTTAAACTAGAACTCATTTTTTTTTTCCACAGTATATTTACTTGAAGAAGGACTATTATAGTCAATGAAAAAAATTTTGAGTCTGCAATTTAATTTAAACTTTTTCAGTTTCAAATTGCTTTATTTCAGGGAAATAATTTTCCAGTTTTTGCTATATCTGCAAATAAAAACCTTATGTTTCCTTTTTTCACTTAACTTTGGTAGGAAACAAACTAAAGCAGACAAACATTTCTTTGTTATGTTTGTTGCTTTCTTTAATCCAATGGATAAAAAAGTAAAACCCTGTAAACATTATTTTATTTTTTTATGCAATACCATGCTGTAAATATGGTTCATCAAATAAGGATGTACCTATGATTGAATCTTTAATTCTGCACAGTTAGAGTTTATATATAAACGTGTCTTGACAATCAAGGACTTTTATGTGAGTCTTCCTTTACAATGTTTATTAATGTTATGCATTCCATTTGTTTTAAAGTGAGTACCAATGTGCTAATTTGTATTGTCTGAAAGTATGTAATGTTTTTACAGCTTGTTTTTAAGAATCTGTAAATATGTACAAACAAATCACAGTACTGCTTTATGTTAGAAGGCATATGATGTTGTACTGTATGTAAGCAATAATACATAGCAGTGCTAACTTAACAAGTAGCATCAGGAAAGTTCTAAAAACATTTCAGAGTTATCAATTATCCTTATTTCACTTGATAGCGATTATCTTTAATCAGTTTTTATAAGCAAATTCCATTGTTCCTCCTGTTGGAACATAACACTGTTTACACAGCATAATTGAAGTTGCAGGGGAGACAGGCTAAATCTGACTTCATCTATACTCATTTTCACTAAGCATTGAATGGCCTTACCACTCTTCTGCAAGATGGAGGAAGACCGCAAAACTTAGTGCCCATCACACTGAAGGAAGGGGGGTGTATTGTATGTCGTTTTCTTTCTTGCTTCTGTACTGCTACCTAATCTTCTGGTTTGCTTTGGATTTTAATATCTGTTTCTGTTTGAAATTCATGCCCATACGTTTGAGGTGACTTCAGCTCCATTGTGAAATAGATAGTTCTCTTCATATCGCATAACTACATTTCAATAATTCTGAACTTTCTACTTTGATTTTTAGATAGTTCTTTTTCGAGCTTGATTTCTCAACTAATCGGATGAATTTATTCAACTTCAATACAAAGAAAGACAAACCTAATGTAGTTTGAATTGAGTAGATATAAACTGTACAGAACAGCTATTTGAACACACATCACTGCTTTAGAAATAAAACCGCCAATTTATAAATGTATATGACCTACATTTTATAGGAGAAATGTTTTTAAATGCTAGTCATTTATATAATGTGCTTTGAAGGATTTGCTAGTCCACTTCTGTCACTTTTTAGTACACTGGTATCTTTTATATGTAATGTATGCTTTTTATTATTGTAGCAAAGCATTTCAGTAGAACAAATTTTGCAACAATATGGGGAAACTTTTTCATTGTTGGATTTGAATTATACTGGATTTTATCTGTGTAGTCTTACTTGTCTTTATTTTAATGCTGTCTGGAAGGGAACTTGGTATCCAAATAAAGCAGGTAACCTCATTTTATTCCAAGGGCATACTGTGTAGTGCTGAATTTAATCTGGAAATCTGATGATTTTGAAAAGGAAAAAAGTTTATTAAAATTGTACAGAAGAAATTAAATGTGTGATGGAAATCCTGATGATGGAGCACGTTGACTTTTCTGATATATAGTGTTATTTTCCTTGGGTCCCCTATGCCTTCTTTGTATTTCAGCGAATAAAGGACAAATCCTGTCATTGAAATTGGTAGGATAAGAGGACATTCTTGTGATGAGACAGTATTACTTTTCCTATCCCACTTTCTGACCCTTTCGCAATCACTGTAAATTTTTATTTTCTATTTCCTATTGATAATTAAACATGTACATAATATAGATGCTGTTGTATAGAACTGAATG